CATATACAACAAGAAGAGGCCTCTTATACTAACAGTGAATTTAAAAAAAACAATCCTAAAGTTGAGATGGAAGAACAAGCTATAGAAATATTGCTAATCAACAGAAAGTGATGATAACACAGCCAAGAACAAGTTAGATTTATTCAAGTTTAGTGCCTAATGTACAAAGCAGCAATTAAGGCAAGGAAGTTCTGAAGCTTTTTCAATTCTATTTTGTTATGGAAACACAAAAACCACAGAGATTTCTTTCTCAATAATTTAAAAGAAATCAATTCTACTAGCTAGAAGCAAAACATCTCACATACATATCAAAATAAGAGTGTTGATTTTTTTTTTCTACTGCTCATTCTGATTTTACCCGGTTAAATTCAATCCAGCGCCTCTCTCATTTTGTCATCGTCTCCAATCCAAGGTCGCAAGTCTACACTGGCCAAATCAAAGACATATTCAATGGCCGATTCAATTTTGATACGGAGTCGATCACCTTTAATATTTGCAACGGGGAGAGCGCGGCCACGCTGGTGAAGACAAAAGTCGGTCTCCACGAGCTGAGCGCGGCCGCCATTTGCCCTGTTCTCCACCGTACCGGAAGGATCTCCCCCCCTCTATCTATCCCTCCCTCTATCATTCCATTTTTAACGTTACTCCTCAAACCCCAATCAACTTTGGGAAAACAAAAAAATTAAATAAAAAAAAAAAAAGAATACATCGAGATTTTATTAAAATCTGAATTAAATTATTATAGATTCATAGAATACAAAAAAAGGGTCTATCTTGGAATATATCTTACACATGATATTGAATGATAAATAATGTATGGAGTACTATTATTATTATCTATTTTACTTTTACAATATTTAAATATTTTCCTCTTATACAAATAATCTATCAATTTTAGTTTACGAGATTTGACTTAAGTTATTTTCAATTTAATTTATATTATTATTATTATAAGTGTAAATTTGAAAAAATGAATTTTACTTCCTTCGTCCCAAAATCATAGTTTTGTTTCATTATTCATTGGCCAAACTTTTTCTTCTTTTTAAACTAATTTTCATTAAGCATTTGTTAATGATTTTAAAATTTTGTACCATTACTTGTGATAAAAGTGAAAAAACTATCTTTCAAATAATGTCTCGTACCTCAATGGTTGGCTGATGATCTCTACTAACAGATTTGCTAGCATTCACCGACTTCATCTCCAAAGCTTTCTTAAACTTATTGTACCTTTCCTGAACAAAAAATAATGAGACAAAAAATAATTTTTCTTATTTTGTTAGAAAGAAAAAGTAAAGAAAAATGTGAGAAAATCGTTTTTTTATTTTTTTCCTTCTAATTTCATTGTACCAACCATAGTGCCAGTAACAAGAAAGAAAATACAACTTAAACTTTGTTTAGAGGTCCTTTGAAGGGTTGTACACTCAAATTAACATGAATGGATGAATGTTCTAGATCAACTAGACTACAAATTTAGAGATGAAATTTGTGGAATTTTTTTAAAAATTTTAAACCGAAATATTAATTTTTTCTAAATTGATTAATGATAAGATTTAAACTCGTGACCAAATTTCAAACTATTCAAAAAATTGTAATTAATGCTTATAGAATTTTGCGATGAGATAATGATAACTGGATTGGACCATAAGACACTTGGGTTAAACCACATAAAAAGATTAAATTCAATCGATTACTCAATTCAACTCAAGAGCTTATGTACCGATTATTTTTCTATTCAACTTCTGATGTAGAATAGACTCTAACACTCTCCTAAAGTGGACAACCGGATTTTTTTGAATATAATCGATTGAACACTTGCAAATGGACTCTCATCCCCTAGATTTTTTTTACCAACACTTCCTAGCTAGCCCACTTGATCAATTTGATATTTTCCCCTTGATTCCTATGAATATAGGAGACTTGTTTTTCTCATTCACAAATCCATCTTTCTCTATGCTGCTCACTCTCAGTTTGTCAAGGACCATGAGATGCTCGGTATGGACTTTCAGACGAGTAATCGAATTAAAAGAGATACAGGGCGTTGGTTACATACTTCATACGGACTACTAGGTTAAAGACTAACGGCCGCTAAGAATGAACGTCTAGACATATACCTTGCCAAATAAGGTGGGTTAAAACTGGCTCTGATATCATTATAGAATTTTCCGATTGGGTAAGAATAACAAGACTCGGTCATAAGACTTTTGGTTTGAACCATATAAAAAAATTTAATCCAATCAATTAGTTAGTTTAACTTAAGAACTTTATGTGGGTTATTTTTAATTCAAACGATAGAGTCTAACAAATGTATCAACAATTGGGATAACCTGGATGATCCTCCTGTCAGCAACATACTCATCATTATCATCATCACTGCCACCACGGCTTCCCTGATCGGAAAAATAAGCCTCAGGGCACCGGACTTCCACCGCATATTTCCGGCAGAAAGGAACCCAAAACCTCGAGAATCTCCACGCCTCACGGACGGCATTCAACGTCACAGAAGAACCGCCATCATCGGAAACATACACAGAGAGCTTACGAGAAGGGTAGTGGAGCGACATGGCCGAAAGAACAGTGTTCATCACTCCCAGCGGCGGCTCTTTGCTCGGATCCGCCGTGCACACGAACACGTCCACGCCGGGGAGCTTCTCCTCGTCCTCCGGCAACCGCTCCGGGAACACCGCGCGCTTGACCGGCCGCCACCGGGGAGCCTGGTGAAGAATCCAGAGAAATGTGAGTATGGCTTCGGAGACGAGGACGACGAGGTGGGGGAGAAGGCGGGGCGGCGGGGCGGCACTCTTCTCCTTTATGATACCGGAAATTGTGGCGAGTCTGTAGGAGAAGATGGCTGTTATGGCGATCCCGTTGAGGAGCATGTGGAGTCTGTTGATGATGAGATTGGCCGTCAATGGGCGGAGAGCGTTGAGAGGCGGCGCCGCCGCGGGTGGAGTGGCATTGGCAGCCATGGATTGATTATTCCGGCGAGAAATTGGAGGGGGGAAATGGCGGGTGGGTTTGAGACGAGAGGCAGGGGTGCGGTGTATATATATCTGCATCGCGGAGATTGCGTCATCGCTGAGTCACTGCATCCATGATGTCATTGCTACGTAAGCGCAGGATAAACTATTCCTTCAAATTGACCGTACGGCCGGGTCTAACTACGAAATTACTCTCCGATCCACGTGAAAATGGTGAAATCAGCCCAACAAATTTTCAAGAAACAAATCCACTCGTGCACTTTTTTTTCTTTTAAATTTTACTACGGTTAACCAATTCCTTTTTAAAAATATGCCTAAAATTTTAAAAAATACGAAAATATCAAAATAGAAGTCTTAAGTATTTTAAAACCAAAAGAACAATATAATGGTAGTGTGCTACAAAAATATGAAAAGTATGATAAAAAAGTGATGACTCTATAACGTATTGGTTTTGATGGGTATAATCCACTGGTACTACCTGGCACGTTTGCAGACGCCCAGGAGGAACCAAAGTCTGACCAATCTTGACCTCACCATCCCTGGTAATATGACCGGATGGATGTCGGGTGGTCAAACCAGTAAGATTGGAACTTGATCTGTAGAAGCCTTGAAAACTGGCCGAGTGGATGATTTGATATGAGTAGTAGTTATAAACAGTGTATTTTCTATTATTATAAATAGGAGTAAAAGCCTCATTAAGAAGACGAGCAAAAATAAATAATTTATACGGCTTGTAAGTTGTAATCGATCCCCATATTATAAATAACAAACTCAGTTGCAGGTGTTCCCACCTATAACCCTTCTGCTTTTAGTGATTTAAGCATTCACGTTGGTTTTACACCATCAGGTGTGATCTGTCAATCGTCGGTGGGTTGCAGCGGCACTTTGGTAGCCAGAGGCGACGAATGGCAGTGTGATGATGATAGTGTGACAGTTACAATGTGACAATGTGGGCAATGTAACAATAGCAATGTAAACTCTCATTTTAGTCTTAAAAACTTATGACTCATATTTTAGTATTTTCATTGTTTTTTACTCTTACCTAAAGAGGTTTCCCTATTTTAAAATAAAAATTGATTTTATGGTAGACCTAAATACCTGATGTCCATTTGAACCTTCTTACATTTTTTTAATTTTAAAAGTGCTCATTTCAACAATTGAAAATGCTTATTTAACATATATAAAGGTCTATATAATAATTTGTCTTGAGTTAATTCCCTAAATGATTCTTAATAATTATGTGTTTATGCAAATTAATCTACAAGATCAATTAATTATCGAGATGTTACTCATTATTTAAAAAAATGTTAAAACTTACACTAATTCCTGGAATAGTTCTTTCTAATTGTGTGGTATCTCAAAAAATGTTAAAACTTACACTAATTTCTGGAATAGTTATTTGTTTCCTGGAACGGCTTTACAATTTATTGTACAATTCACTACCACTTTTTTGTATTTCAAATTTATTTTTTGATAGAGGCACTACAAAGTATTTTTTCGAAAGTTTACTAAAACTTTTCTTGATAACACGGGAGTACCCTGATATTTTTAAAAAACTTAATTTTGAAATTTAAAATTCAAAAAAAAAAAATTGGAAAAAGATAATATACATCATATAAACTCACATTTCATCTATTTGTGCAAAATAAGTTAAAGAGTCTCTATTTGTGCATGTATACATAGAGTTTGATATGAAAAATTTTACAAATATATGCAAAGAGTCTCTATGTGTGCATGTATAACAAAAAAACATTGTAACCGCACTTCCTCTTTCGAGAAAGGCGTGAAAAATAAATCATTGATCGACAAAAGCCACAATAAAATTGAACAATCAACACATTACTCAATTTTAGAACAAATCAAAATGTCTGAAGTGTTGGAAACCAAATGATGCAATTTTTGAGTTCGTATTTAAATTTGAGCATTTGATACCAAACTTGGTATCTATTGATGAATTCTTTTGTGTACCCAATAAACTTTGGGCTCTTGAGACTTATACAAATAGCCATAATCATAGTAATAATTTCTACCATGTGTCAAAAAGAGTATGATGGGTGACCTTACAGATGACATCATGCATGCATATTCGATGACGCAATATCCAAGATGCAATTATATACTCTGATGTATGCCCCGCTTCTCCTCTCAAACCCACCCGCCATTATTCCCTCTGAAATTCCCCACTGATTCAGGAGGAGGAAGGTGACCGGAATATCCATCCATGGCTGCCTATGCCACTCCATCCGCGGCGGCGGCGGTGCCGCCTCTAAATGTGCTTCGCCCATTGACGGCTAATCTCATCATCAACAGACTTCACATGCTCCTCAACGGGATCGCCATAACAGCCATCTTCTCCTACAGACTCGCCACAATTTCCGGCATCACAAAGGAGAAGAGGGAAACTCCCCGCCTTCTTCCCCACCTCGTCGTCCTCGTCTCCGAAGCCATACTCACATTTCTCTGGATTCTTCACCAGGCTCCCCGGTGGCGGCCGGTCAAGCGCGCGGTGTTCCCGGAGCGGCTGCCGGAAGACGAGGGGCAGCTCCCCGCCGTGGACGTGTTCGTGTGCACGGCGGATCCGAGCAAAGAGCCGCCGCTGGGAGTGATGAACACTGTTCTCTCGGCCATGTCGCTCGACTACCCTTCTCGGAAGCTCTCTGTTTATGTTTCCGACGACGGAGGCTCTTCCGTGACGCTGAACGCCGTTCGTGAGGCGTGGAGATTCTCGAGGTTTTGGGTTCCTTTCTGCCGGAAATATGAGGTGGAAGTCCGGTGCCCGGAGGGTTATTTTTCCGATCATGGAAGCCTTGGTGGCAGTGAAGATGATGATGATGATGAGTATGTTGCAGATAGGAAGATCATCAAGGTTATCCCAATTGTTGAAAAAAAACTCTTTGATTGACTGTTAAATCTTTGATAAACCTACAAAGCTTAAACCTTTGATTGAGTTTTTCTTTCTTTCTTTCTTTCTTTTGAAAGTTGTTCAGTTTCTGGTGCAGGAAAGGTACAGTGAGTTTAAGGATGCTTTGTATAAGAATTCAGTGAATGCAAGCAAATCTGTTAGCAGAGATCATCCGCCTACCGTTGAGGTACAGATTTAATTGGATTGACAATAACATATACGAAGAACGAAGTTTCCTGCAACAAAGATAAATGAGGATGTTCGTTTCACGATTAATAAGATAAGATTTTGTATATGTACAGGTGATGACAGATGAAAATGAGGATTCGAGCGGGCTAAGAGAGATGCCACTTCTTGTTTACGTTGCTCGGGAGAAAAGGCGAGGCCATCCCCACCATTTCAAAGGAGGGGCTGTCAATGTTCTAGTAATTATCAATACTCCATGGATTACTTGTCTACTTTCTTTCTTTGGTTTTCTTTATGTTTGGGATGAGCACATTCACAGAGTTTCCTAATCTTCCATGGAACTGCTTGATAGTTGAGCCATTCACAGTCCTTATTTGTGTGTAGCTCCGAGTGTCTGCGGTAATAAGCAATGCTCCCTACTTTCTGGTGCTGGATTGTGACATGTACTGCAACGACCCTTCCTCTGCTCGCCAGGCTATGTGTTTTTATCTTGATCCGAAAGTGTCTTCGCAAATCGCTTGGGTTCAATTCCCTCAGCAATTTCACAATGCCACCGAGCGCGATCTCTATGATGGAAGGCTTAACCCATATTTGGTATGTTTTTTTTTCACTCTTAATTTGTATGTATAGTTTGGAGAACATATACTGATTGTGCCAAATTCATTCATTTTCCACACACAAAAAAAATGCACAGAGAGAAGGGCAAGGCTTTGATGGGCTTAGAGGACCTGTCTTATATGGCTGCAATTTTTTCATGAAGAGAGAAGCAATCCATGGAGCCAAGAACATTCGGATGGGTACTTGGGGTTGATTTTTATGTATACTCCCGTGACATGAATAAAAAAAACATCATTGGACCTTATCATCTGTCTTTCAGGTGACGGTCTCAACGAGCTTAAGGAGCTGTTTGGATCGAGCAATGAGTTCATTGAAGCAGCTAGGCACAAAAACTGTTACAAGCCAAAATTGGCTGAAGACAGAAAGCCCTCTGGCGCATTGCAGAAGGAGCTTCAATTGTTGGCCTCTTCTACTTATGACGCTGGCACGCAATGGGGAAAACAGGCGAGTCTCTAGTCTCTACAATGGATACATGAAACCCGATCGCTTATCTTCTTCTAACATGGCCTCTGTTTTATTAAATGGCAGGTTGGGTTCCGATATGGCACTGTTGTGGAGGACGGTTTAACAAGCCTTCAATTGCACTGCAACGGGTGGGTTTCCGTGGCAGTCGATGACCCAGACAGAAGGCCATGTTTCTTAGGCACTTCCACTACGAACCTGAACGATATGTTGGTTCAACAGATGCGTTGGTCATTTGGACTGATGCAAATTGGTCTGTCGAGGTTTACCCCTCTCATCTACGGGCCACTGAGGATGTCAGTCCTTCAAAGCATGTGTTATGGTGCCCTTGTGTTCAAATCTCTCTACACTTTCCCCTTCTATGGTTTATCCATAATTCCTCCCATCTGTCTCCTCTACGGCATTCCTCTCTATCCCAATGTCTCAGACCCTTTTTTCTTCGCGTTTGCCTACGTTTTCGTCGCGTCGCATCTCAAGCACGTGCAGGAGGTCTATGCGTACGGAGACCGTTCGTTGGGGAATGCAGTGTACGAGGTGAGGGTCTGGATGATGAAGTCTGGGACGGGCTACCTTTACGCGCTTGTGAACTCTGTCTTGGACAAATTCGGCATGCACGAAACGAATTTCAATGTGACGAACAAGGCAGGTGCTGATGATGAACAAGCGATGCTCTATGAGCGCGGCATGTATGACTTCCGAGCATCGCCCGTGTTGCTTGTTCCACTGTGCAGCATTTACATTCTCAACCTGGCTTGCTCGGTTTTGGGAATGTGGAGGATGTTTCGCAACGGTGGGGCCGGATCGTTGCTCGCCCAAGCGGCTCTCTCATTCTATGGGGTAGTTGTGAACTGCCATTTGCTTGAAGGGATGTTCTTGAGGAAGGACAGTGGCCGCATCTCGGGATATGTCTCTCAGATTGCTATAATGGCATCTGGAGTCGTCTTCGGCTGTGGATCGCTTCTTGTACATTGCTGTTGAAAAAAATGATTTTTGCTCAATGAGTGATGATCACCAATGTGTTCTGGACAATTTATATGTCTATGTGAAAACTCTAAAGTCCCATTCAAAATGGAAGCTAAAGTTCTTTTTTTTTAAAATATGCATATGGATGTGAAAACCTACTAGCAAACATGGACCACTAGAGGAAAAAAATATACCAAAAGGCCCCTTTACAGCAGACTTTAAGAATTTAGATGAAAGACACATATACAAAAAGATCCATTGGCACCCTTTGATTATGTTTGGAGAGACTCATACAAGTAACAAAGAGAGACTCTTGACTGAGATTAGGCATGGGTTCAAAGTAAACTCCATGGGCATCCTCAAAAACTTCATAACCACTACTACCAGCACCCCTTGCAGATTTGCATTCATATATAAAACATATCCTATTAAATCCACTCGCCCCACCCCATTTCCTATACGAGGATTCCGGATGTCTGATACTCATTTTGGTCCCTCTAAGTGTACTCATGACTCAATTTGGATCCAGTATATAATGTGAATCAAGTTAGCCCTTCGGACGAAATTTATCTCCTAAAATTCTGGGTTATCAAGTTCATTGGCGCAAGAGCAATGATTTGTGTAAATTAACGTGTTAACTTAGAATTTTAGAAGATAAATTTTGCATAAAGAACTAGTTTGATTCATATTTCCTAGTTATAGGAACTAATTTGACTTTGGTGGCTTAAGCATAAATACAATATGAATTGTAGAGTGGAGAGAGGTAAATCGGACCAAATTTACTACCACATATTTGGGTCAGTCCCAATATACCCATCAAATGTAATGCAGAAATTGAGAAAAAAGGACCATGAAGAACCACACCCCCACAAAAACGTAACCCTAAAAATGATTTTTTTTTTTGTAGCAATTAAATGGAATAAAAACTAAGCCGGATGTAGACCAAAGCAGATTATACATGAATTAAGAAGTTCATATAATGAAGACGCAAGAAAGCACACAAATATATAGGCGTCAAACAGATATATGTGCAGATATGAGCAAGATTTACCTCAGTTCGATGATTGAGTTGGAGAAAATCAGAGATGAGACGCGAAAGGGACTCCCAACGATCTTTTACGGCATGCATTTTTGTTTTGAGTGATTCCGAACTGAGGTCTAACCTTCTCACGTATATTTTTTTAAATTTTAAAAAATGATTATTTCAACACTTAAAAATGATTATTTAGCATATATTAAAATCTATCATCGACTTTAGGTGCATGTAATAATTTTTGTTTATTTTATTTTAGAGTAAATTCTAAAAATGATCCTTTTGTGTTTTTCCAATTTAGTTCCCAATAAATAAATGAGATATATTTTAAAAATAGTCTTTTGTCAAAAATATCTATTAAATGACAGTTAGATAGATGATGTTTATGTATCTTCCATCATCTAAATTATAAATAAATCATCAAAATGGTTCTTTCAAATTAAGAGGGTGTTTTTCTTTGCTGAAGTTTATTGACTTATTGCTAATAAGCAGTTTTTAACGTATAAGTTACTTATAAGTCGAATATTCTTTTATAAAAATAAAATGACTTAAATGATAGATAAATTATTTGTAAATATTCATAAATTGTGATGAATAATTTTTAAATAATCTCGCCAAAATGAAAAAACGAAAAAACTAGCTTAAAAATAAGTAGTTAAGACCTACTTATTTTTTCTGACTTACAAGCAGCTTATAAGCACACAGAAACATGTCATCAGCTGGCTTATAAGTTAAAATTTAAAACTATTTTTCCGAAAAAAGTAAAAAAAATTTTGAGCTTCAAAAAAATGAGGAAAAAATAAGAAACAAAATAGTACAAAAATAAAACTTAATATCAATTTTGGACATCTCAGTTTTAAGGACTTTTTTAGGTGTGTCCAAAAATTATTTTTTGTATAAGACTCTTTTTTGCGTATTTTAATTTTTTCATTTTGTTTTTTCATACTTTTATTTTTTTATTCTAGGTTTTCTTTTTTAACTTTCCAAAAAATTATTCTAATTAACAAAGAGTGAAAATGTTTAATTTGAGATAGATGTAATGTATGTTATTTTTTTTTATTTCAAACACAAAGAATTTTGAAATTTTTAAAACATTATAAAAAGATTGAAAAGAAATTTAAAAGAATCTAGGAAAAGGAAAAAGAGATAGAAAATATTTAAAAAAAGAGAAAACCCAAATAATAAACGAAAAATAAGAAATGAGCACGAGTACCCCTTATGGTTACGGATGGCAACGGGTCGGGTTTGAGTAAATTAAAACCCGATCCAACTTAGGTTGGATTCGGGTTTGATATTTGCGGGTCGGTTTCAAATATTTATTTTTTCGGTTCGGATTCGGTTTAAAATTCGATCGGGTCGGTTATGATCAAATTGGGGTTTGAATGCTAATAAAAGCATTCATGAAAAGTTTAATATTGAAATACATTAAAAATTTAAAATTTTAAAGAAGACGTAAAATTTAAGGTATTAAAAAAGTAATTATGACCGAATGATCCTTAAAGAGTTAAATAGAGTAAATTTCAACTAATAACATAAAGTACATAGAAAATAACATAATAAAAAATGAAACACAAAGAAATGCAATAAATTTTAATATATTCGAAACTTGTGTATTTGAAATATATAGAATATATAGGAATTTAGGGTTTTTAAAAACTTATTGAAATCTTTCTTTAAAAAACTTATTGAAAGTCGGGTACAGGTCAGGTCGAGTACGGGTCGGGTCGGTCAAATATACTAACCCAAACCCGACCCAACAACTATCAGGTTCGGTTTACATTTTTTCGGGTCGGTTTCGGATATTTAATTTTTCGGTTCAGATTTGGATATTATAAGCTCAGGTCGGGTCAGTAAAAGTTGGATTCAGGTAGAATTGTCATCCTTATTTATGGTTAAGAAATTGTGTGTCAATGACTCTTCTTCACCGGAAAATGACCGAACGATGATCAGAGGATGTGTGAGTATAACATTTTGAAACCACGGACTCTTTGAAAATAGAGAGGATATTGATGCCATTTTTTCAAACACAGAGAAAATCGGAGCTATTTGGTCTGTAAATTTAAGTAATGTGACATTTTTGCCTTTTATTCAAAAAAATGTTTATAAAAAAAATCAAACGACCTCATTTTTGGGATGCCTTTTTTGTGATTGAAGTTTTAGTCGGTAGTCTAATAAAAACAAAAACTTTTCAGCCCGTTCTCTTAAATCTTTCTCTCTCTTAACCCGCCATGGGATGAACACCTCTCTTTTCTTTCAAAATCTGCCGAATGTGATTCTGAATCTCAGCATTCTAAATTCACTCTGGAGATCCATATTTTCATTTCCATTTCCGTTCCTACAATATTCTACATTACGAATCACACACGCCAGAGAGGGCGGTGAAGCGAAGAAGAAGGGGAACAAAGAAGAAATGTATTCCATAAAAGATCGAGTTTCAGAGACCCTTTCGCGTCTCTTTTCTGATTCTCCAATTCAATCTCTAGACAATCAACCTGAGGTAAATCTTGCTAATATCTGCTAATGTTTCTGTTTGTCGCCTATTTTTTGTGCTTTCTTGTGTATGAATTTCGTAATTCATAGATAATCTGCTTTGATCTACATTGTGAGCTAGATCTCATAGTGTTATCCGCATTGCACTTGGATTTCTTTTTATTTCAATTAATTGCTTCAAAAAAAACATTTTTTAGGGTTTAGGGTGGGGGTGTTTTTCTTCATTAACTTTTTTCTGCATTACATTACAACATTGAAGGAGTTACACTCCAGCTGTTACGTTATACTCGGTGTAGGAGTTAATTTTGTGACATTGATGTTCTTCATTGGTAGGCCGGACCAGATACCAAAGACGGGAAGTCTTTATCTTTCATACTTTCCTTTGTGCTTCCGTCATCGAGTTTTGATAGGTCGAATGACCAGCATGATAGAACGCCAGTCCAGTCCCCTTCTTTTACGTGGAGAAGTAGAAGTTTTAAATTGGAAGACAGACCTTTGGAGAGATTTGATGATTGTGACTTTGAGGACGATTACGAAGACACCCCATACTCTCATAGTGGAAATGGGGTGAGCGAATTTAATAGGATCTGTTTAATGAATGGACGCACAGAAAACATCGAGCCTAACTCTGCAAGGAGTGTTGCTAGTGGTTATGAAGTTTTTGAGGATGCTCATGGATTTGACTTTGAAGCCATGCCTAATCTCAGCCAAGAGTCTCTTTTTGTTACTCCAAACTTGTATGAGTTTCTCCAAGCATCCCTTCCTAATATAGTCAAAGGGTGTCAATGGATCTTGTTGTACAGGTAACTTTTATCTAGAATTTTAGTCTGCCGCAATGGAGCCTTTTGGTTAATTTTTATCTGCTCTGTGGTTTCTAATCATGTGAGGATCTTTATGAAACAGCCTCTCTACCTTTTTTAGGTAGAGGTAAGGTGTGCTTACACTCACCCTCCCCAGACCCAACTTGTGGGACCTTAGTGGGTCGTTGTTGCTGTTGTTGTTTCTCATCATCTGTATGATTGGCAGCACGAATAGAGATGGTGTTTCACTTCGTACACTCATTCACAAGAGCACTGATGCTTCTGGTCCATGTTTGCTAGTAGGTTTTCAAATCCATATGCTTGCTTTATAAGAATTTTAGGTTCCCTTTTGAATCAGAATTTTCACATCGACATGTAACTGTTTAATACAGATTACAGGTGATAAGGAAGGTGCAGTGTTTGGTGGATTGCTTGATGCACCGCTGACACCCACTGCAAAGGCAAAATATCAGGTATTCAATCCTTCATATTACCACACATTGTATCCTCTAAGCACAAATTATTCACCTCTGATTTCATAATGTCTGATAGGGGACAAATCAAACGTTTGTGTTTACGACTATATATGGTGAGCCAAGGCTGTTTAGAGCAACTGGTAAGAATTTACATCAGTGTGCTTTGATATCAGTTTATTATTTCCATTCCCCTATGGAGCCAAAGATTCACTACTTTTTGGCTTTGGGGTATGATAGAATAAAGCAAATTGGCTCTTTAAATATTCTGCACTTCTTGCAATTGTGAAGTTGCAATTAGTCAATGCAACTTTTGACGCTCATCATGGGTCATCTGGAAGCATCCGCTCTATGTTTTACACATAGGAGTCAGACTGCGTACATCCGACCCCCCCTTACCCCGCAATGGGCGGGAGCCATTGAGGCACTGGTGTAATGTTGTTGTTGTTGCTGCTTTGATATTAGTTTACATTAAGGGGGTAACTAGGAATTGAAAAAAGACATGCAATGAGTAAGTGATCTTCTGAGACATCATGGATTGAGTTACTAAGATTATGGGAAAACTTTTACATTTTAATGGAAGTGTATTATTTGAAGCAAATGCTTGTATGAAAGTAGATAGAAATGGTTTGGTTCTATGGAGAATGGCAAAATCCAAGGAACAACCCCATGGCTCTCATTAATGGAGCAGGAGTGATTGGATTGATATAGCAACACAAATATTTCTATAGGGAAAACTTTATATATTTCTAATGTGACCAAGTTAAATCTAACCTTGAAGACATGATCCTTAATAGGAGGTTCTGGAGGTAGCCTATTAGGGTTTTAGAGTCCTTGTAATGGTTGTGTATTTTTTTCCACTCCTTACAATATGGGCCACTGTTTCTCGTGGACCCTCTCGGAAAGAAACCTCTCTACTCCTTGGAGTGTTGAGTTAAGGTCTGCATAAATTTTTCCATCCATACCCTACTCTTGAGTGAGGTATAACCGAGTTTCACTTCATATAATCATAATAGCTTTTCTTGATTTCTTGATTAGGTGCCAATCGGTACTTCTTTTTGTGTATGAATGAGCAACTTGCTTTTGGAGGGGGAGAACATTTTGCTTTAAGCATGGATGGTGATCTGTAGGTTTTGCTCCCTAATAACTGTCGTTAAAGCTTTGACAATCTATTGATGTCACTATAACACAATAATTCATGCCCGTTTCTTTGATTAAGGTTGTCTGGCAGCAGTGGACCTTCTGAAACTTTTGGGAACTCATGCTTAGCCCATAATCAAGAATTTGAATTAAAGAATGTTGAGGTATTATTTCTGCTCATTTTCTCTTGTCGGGGAAATTACACTTGTAGTCCTTCGGTTACAGTGGTTATCTAAACGTCAGCCCCCCCCCCCCACATTTTATCCATTTGCAGCTATGGGGTTTTAAACATGCATCTCGCTACCTTGTTTGATGCCATTGCATGCCTCCAGAACTGGTATAGTGTGAACCTTGGGTGGCACACATATGGTGAGGCACCATGAAACATCATTCCCAGGTGGCATTTGCCTTCCACTTAAAAGGTTACATAGACACTAACACGATGAGCATTTAAGTCCCCATATTTATCAACTAATGATTCTTTAAACGGGCAATGTCAAATCTAACTACATAACCACGTCGTTATGATGTATCGTACATATTGTACAGGTTTGATCATACATATAGTTTGATCACCATCGACATGGTATTACGTGGCTGGGTATTTCCATGGCTTACCTGATCCCTTGCATATATTTGTTACAATTATACAGACACGAACAATGTTGGATATTTAATGTGTTTTACTTCTTTTTTCTGAAGTCGAAGATGTTTTTCTATTTTTGTAGTATTTGTTAATTATATTGAGTGAAATGTGGAAACAAGATCATTCTCTGTATTAGATCATTTGGAACATCTTTGATCTGTAACTGGTTGCTGGTCATAGTTTACATTCTAGAGTTCAAACTCTTCCATTCTTTCTTTCTTTCCTTGTACTCCTTACCACTTTGGTTCATTTGGTATTTTGGTTGAAACCTTAGCCTGTCCATTTGGCAACATGAATGCCCACATATTTCTCTCCAAGATTTTAACTTTTGCTACATTCATGGTTACAATTAGAGTAGGGAAATGAAGCGAATAGGTTTTGATTCGATTTGTGATTCGCGTTCAAAAATATTGATTTGTATTCGCAAAAACGAGTATGAATGTGAATATAAATACTTATTAGTATCCGAAATCAAAATGAATACAAACACAAATATGTATATATTCAATTCGATACATTGACAAACACGGAGTACTATGTATATTCAAAGTCAATTATACAAATGAATACGCGTACATTTTTTTTTGTTTTCATACAAAAACATAAATATATTTTAATTTAACTTCTTTCAAATATGACTAAAGCATCTTTAGTGGAAGTTGCTTAGAGAAGGTTTTTAACCAAGATATGAAGCAACTGTTGCTCTACATGTACACCATATAAGCTCCACATCACCTTTTCTAGGTGGAACAACTCCTTAAGAATCCTATATTAAAGATGCTCTTACATTACATATAGTCATTACCACTTCAATTTTAACTAAAATATAAAATCAAGATTTGGTTCCACTGGTTCTAATCTGATTGGAATAAATACTTGTTTGATTTGATCTAAATTGATCTGATTTGGTTCAATAAGAATAAGTTGAAGAAAACATATTCTAAGAACTAAAATATGAAATGTTAGAATTGGAAGAATGAAGTCCCAAGTTTGTAAAATAGGAGGTTGAAACTTTAAAAAAATGTAGAATAAAAATCAAAATGTCCTATGGTACTCCTTTACACTAAAACTTTAGCGATGTTAAAAATTATACTCACATCATATTTAAACTGTTTGTTCACTATTCACATGATAACTTTAACCATCTTTGTTTTGCCTATTTGTGTTACCCACTTAATAAAAAATAATCATATTATCTCTTGATTTATAAAACTTTTGATGCATATTTAAAATATATACTCCCTCCGTCCCATTTTATGCCTGTTTCGGTTTACGATGTTTGACTGAAATTATTTTCAAATCATTTTATATGACAAATGGTATATAGTTAAAAAATAAAAATTACATATTAAAATACTACATCAAAAGATCTACAAAATTAGTAGTGACAACAATACTTTATTTTATCAATTTGCTAATGAAAATTGAGAAAGAAAGTGAATGAAATTTGACCATGTGAATAGTGAACAGGCATTATAATTTGGAACAGAGGGAGTAATTTTTATTTTTAAAATTTCATGCAAATTTTTTTAAAAAATAATTTTAGTCAATCATATGAAGCAATGATTTTGAGCTGAATAATTTACATAGAATCTTACAGTACAGTATTTCTCAAGAAACATAGCCAATCACTTTATACCTTCCCAAGTTTAAGAAAATGTGAGAATGGAGTGCTGTGATTGTCCAGGCAAAATTCATAGTTTAAAAATGAAATCATCATAACTTACTACCTCATGTTGTACACCATCTTTGTAAAATTACCACCATTGTCCTTGCATTACTATTCCCAACAAACAATGGTTGTTACATCTGTGTGATGCAAAACTTACTACAATACAAAAAGATGTCTAACTCTTGGAGTGGGCAAGGTGCACTTAAGGTTTTGAGCACTAACCTAACCAGGGCCATTTTGGGCAAACACCGAAAGATAAGCAAAGCACCCACAAACTCTTCACCGTACCTGCGAGTATAGCAGTAGCTATGTATACATCTATTAGCCTCAACAATGCTAGAGCGAAACGGGGAATTAGTCCTCTTCAGGCTGATCGGGCAGCCCAAATAGTCTGAGGTTTCGATCCATTGATCCTACTGCAATGTACTTAGCATCCGGACCAAACTTTAGACATGTGGCTTTGCCTGTACATAGAGAAATAGGAGTTGTCATCATCCTCTAGCGAAGAGGACATCGGAATTATTATGCATACAAAAGGAATAAGGCAGAAAGAGTAGGGGGAGAGAGAGAGAGAGAGAGAGAGAGACCGGTGCCTGACAAATCAGGGAATGTCTTGATGTGACTCCATTCTGACTTGACACTTGCAACTTGATATACTCTGCCAGAAAAGCAAACATTGATATTATTAGCTCCCAAGTGTGCCAAACTGTCTGAGATCAAGGTTGGACGGTTCATATCCAACAAGCACGACCAGCCCTAATCAAGTGCTTGTTGGATCTCAACTCTGATTCTGTTCGAACAGTTTGGATCGAGAGAAGCAGCGTGCTCTTTTATTTTTCTTTTCTAAAATTTCATCACTCAGTGAAAAAAACACAAAAGAAAATGCACTTGACATTGCTTCAACTCTTTACCTTATATCTGAACCTCCCAAGGCAATGTAACTTCCACTATGGTCAAATTCCACTGCAAATTCATCATGGTGAATGTAAAAACAAACAAACCCAGTAACATCCCACAAAAAAGTAGGGTCTAGGGAGGGTGTGTGTACACAAACCTTACCCCTCAACTTAAGCACAATCAAAGTAAAGCAACAAAGTAGACATAAAAGCACGAACAATTTCAACAAAGTAGTAGCAAAGAGAAAACTAAGGGTAAAAGAAGCGTACAGAGACAAGCACACAAACCGACACTAGCAACCAGACCCCAAGCACAGAAGCACACAAAGACAAGAACAAAAATGCAGCCGCACAAATGCTACAACCAAGGCCTAGAAGACTACCCAACTACTCTAGTCCTAAATTTTCAGACGTTCCTATCTAAAGTCATATGCTCAATACGGTCAAAGAGTCTCAAGTCTTGTCTAAACACGTTTTCCAATTCTTCCTAGGTCTACCCCTGCCCCCACTCCCACACACTACCATAAGCCTTTCGCATCTCCGCATTGGGCCTCTACACTTCTCCGCTTCATGTGCCCAAACCACCTCAGTCTAGTCTAGCTTCCTGCAGCTTATCCTTCCCAGGTGCCACTCTCACTCATCCCTGAATAACCTCGTTTCGAATCCTATCGAACCTCGTCTGCCCACACATCCATCGCATCATCCTCATCCCTGCCACATGAAGTTGATGAACATGGATTCTTCACCGCCTAGCACTCCGCTCCATATAGCATAGCCAGTCAGACTTGTGAGCAATAACTTCCCCTTCATGCTAGTTGATACCTACTTCTCGCATACTAGGAATAGTGGCATGAACAATTCAAATTCTTTTCCCCCATTATTTTCCTTATCTAAAACCACTTTCCTCACTGTTTTATTCTTTGGACGGGAATGCTAAATCACCAAAGCTTATACATGTGGACGATGCAGTAAAACATCAAAGTGCCACTTAATCAAGATTCAAGACAAAGTGCACACATTATAAACTTACAAGAACCTGACAGTTTTATTTGCGCAATCTTGATAATCATATCCAGTACATCTATATGTTCTTGTTTCAAAAACCACAAACATAGTTTGATGTAATTTATTTCGATATGAAGCATATTGTTCATCCAGATTTCAGAAGCAGTGACTACTACTCTAGTCAAAAGGCATGAGTGCTCTCTGCAGTGCCGAACTGCAGGTATCTAAAAGTAACATCTAAAACTCCAGAAGGATATTTTTTATCATGGACTTTTTTCTTGATTCTTACAATAAACAAGACAAGTGACAAGTGTGGCACTGTAAACATAACTCTATCCATCTCATTTGATCGTGCCTACTTCGACTAAACACGGAGAATAATGAAGTGAAAACTGTGATTGAGATCTATGCAGAGGAGAGAAACAATATGAACCACTTAATGTTTACTATTAATGGAAGCAAGCATGATAAATTTTGACGGAGCAAAAACAAAAACAGGCAAGAGACACTGGGGGCACAGGAATTAGCATTAGCATATACCTGATTGGGTTGGTGTGCTGTCACCATATGAATTGAGGTTTCTAAAATTTTTTAATTTGCGCAAATCCCAGAGCTTAACCCCATCTTGAGCAGCAGTCTTACAGCATTACAGCATAAAGAATCAAAATCAGGTAGTTTGTGCCACACTTCAGCCTTATCAATGAATACTTGTCAAAGAAAGGTAAACTTATGGTAAAAAAAAGATACATACTGCTAAGAAATAACCATTTTCCGAGAATGAGATTGCGTTAACTGTTCCAACATGCCCAGCAAATTGTGCAACACTTGCCTAGATATCCATGAACAAGATTAAGCAAAACGCTTGTCTTCTAAAAATAGGGAAAAATTGGAAGAGTATATATTTCCTTAACTTAACATGCATACCTGACTCTTCACATCCCAAATCTTTACAATAGACCCTGATGTACCGGTTCCAAGAATTAGACCATCAGGATGAAAGGCTGCAGATGTAAAGCCCTCAGAGTCTGAAGCATCTGAAACCTGCAAAAGGCATCACGATTGTCAAGCCCGAAAAATGTAGGATATCAATAATTCAATATAACACAGAACAGAATTATGAGAAACCTGGGCAAGGCATAAGCCAGATGCAAGCTCATAAAAGCACCATGTGCTATCAAGAGAAGCAGTTACAAAGTAATTGTTAGTTGCGTGGATTGTGACTGCTTGCACCTACAACATTTAGGAGATCATGATTTTTAAAAAAAAACAGAAACTGAATCCCATGATCAACACTTCCACATTATTTACACACTTGACTGACACTACATAAAAAATTAAAAACAGAACCAAGATTACATGCTGTTTTTCAGTAACTGTTGCTTAAGACAATATTTTCCTCAAATAACTAACTCAATCGGTTATACGGAGAGCCTTAGTTGGGCATTTGCCATTTTCCTTTTTAATCCATAAATACTACTCCGTACATAGTACATTAAGCGATAATACACACACAGAGAAAAGATCTCACCAATCGTGTCAAACCAACTCTGTAAGGCAAGGATCGAGCAATTAGATTAGTTGAGCATAAGAGGATCTAAGGTCTGGGAGCATCTGTGCCTGACAGTGGCAGATCATTCTTTTACATACTCACACATCATGGTCTTAAGAAGCATGCGAGGCTTGAGCCTTTAAGACACAGGCATTAAGGCACAAAGAAAATGCCTATAAGAATTAAGCAAATGCCATGAAGCTCCTATGGGATATCTCTAATAAGAAGGATATACTTTGAGTGAAATGGGTCCATAGTAGGTATCTCAAACAAGAGTCAGTTTGGGACAACAAGATAAAGGGAGATAGTTGTCATTATTGGAAAAAGATGTTGAAAGTTAGGAAAGAGTTTAAAAATATGCCCATCACTGGAGAATACAAAACCAATGAAGGATACAAATGGCTGCAAGGAGATAAACCCAATGTGGGTTGGGCTGAATTAGTTTGGAATAACTGGTCGATTCCTAAACATCAGATGATTGCCTGGCTTATTTGGAAAGGTAGATTGCAGACAAAATGCAGACTGGGTAAATTTTTGCAGATTGATACTACATGTAGTCTGTGTGGAGGAGCTCAAGAAGAATTGGATCATCTATTCTGCACATGTGTTTTCTCTTCCTGGATCCTAGGGGACATCTCAGCATGGGCTGGCTTGGATATAGCAGTAGGATCTGTGAAGGGATGAGAGGACACACTGAAGACCAGCAAGAGCAGAAAAGAGAAGAGAATTAAAGAAGCTCTAATTGCTGCTTGCTGTTATGAAGTGTGGAAAGCAAGGAATAACATACTCCATGCTAAAAGAACATTGTCACAAGAGGAATGCATTGAACATATTAAATTCCAGGTATGTGTTTACATTAAACCTAAACTAGTTAGAATGTAATTTTGAGCCGGGGGTCTCTTTGGAAACAGCCTCTCTACTTTCGAGTAGGGGCAAGGTCTGCGTACACACACCCTCCCCAGACCCTACTCTTGTGGGATTTAACTGGGTTGTTGTTGTTGTTGTTGTTGTTGTTAGAATGTAATTGTAACCAGATGTTATGTTACATATGTGAGATCAGTTTTGTAATTTCCCTTGGTTTTAGTAATGAAGTTTGCGCTTGGTTTCAAAAAAAAAAATTCCCATCTATTTCTCTTTGCAAATCTATTTTCTGTTTCTTCTATTTTCATCTCTATACTAAATTTTGTCCTTTATACTACAACCTCTTTCTTTTCCGACTAGCTTGATAAGTGACATAAACGAAGTTAATTCAGTGGAATCAGTGCATGTTATGGAAGGAGTGGTCTCAATGGGTAATATTAGGATACCTCTGACGTGTGATCCTTCAATATGTGCCTGCAGTCGTAGTTTCCATTTTCTGATTCTTGCCAAACACGTACAGTCTGCAAAGGGAAATGAAACTATTACTCCATATATCACAAGAAAACACTGAAGAGTGACAGTTCCCATAAGAAAATCTATCATATTTGGCACACGTCGCGTGAGTGCTCGAGTGCTTGACACTAATGAAATTGACATGCTTTCTGTACAAGGCTTGAAAGCAATGAAACCCATGCGTTTTCTACTTTGGTGCATTAATGAGTTTTTATTTAAATAACTAGAAGTCAAGAACAATAACAAACTAGATGGGGAAAAAGTCATTTCACTAACACATCAATAGTCTTCACCATCACATCATGTTCTTGTAATGCAGTAATGCACAATTGCATATAAGTCTGAATTGACATCGTAACTCAATATAGATCAAATATGCAGGTTAGTTAAATCAAACATCTTTGTCCAATGCTTTTTATTTTCTTAGCATTTCAGCAATTGATCAAGGAGCTTTAGGTGAATCTCGTAAAGTGTTTATTTGATCCAAGCTCAATGTTCAGTGTCAAATATCCCAAAATTGAATTAGGAATCACAACTGTGAAAGCATATAGTTCATGCAAATAGTTCTAGTTTTACCTTATCAGCTGAGCTTGTGACCACCATCTCACCCTCAACAGCAAATTTAACACTGGTAACCTGTAGAGGATAGTGTCATAGCTCAAAGTGAGCATGAATTGCAATAAACATTTTGGCAAACATTGATAAGAAACTAATGTATTAGTAGATGAGCAGACCCTTTTCGTGTGACCAGTTAATGTAGATATAATCTGTTCTGAAGATCTACTGAACACGACAGCGTTATTGTCAATACCACCAGTAGCAATGATGTCCTGAACACCATGAGAGAACACAATTTGACAAACTAAGAACTATGCAAGAAAACACTCCGTAAAAAAATATTGATAAAAAGAAGACAAAAAGGGAAATTACAATGAACTATTTCTATTTTTGAGTTATGTTGTTTATGCAATATATATAATTGTGTGTGTATCCAATGTTCACTTTTGACCTCTCGCCTTAAAAAAGGTTCACTCACCCGCCTCTGGCCTTTCAAAACTATGCAGTTCAGACATGGACTACTTTCTGGGGTCACCCACAGTTTTTACAGCTGAACAACTTGGATCCTCAATGCTTGGATTATTTGGAAGTGCATATAAGACATATCATGTTTATGATTAAGTAGTTCTGGTGATTGACTTAAAGATGCTAAAATTTTCAACATTCAAAAATTTGAAAATATCCATTTCATTTTAAACATTTGATCATGCATGTTATGATTCATAATTTTGTACAACTTGCCTTTAAAAAACAGGTCTTCCAATTCAAAATTTAAATCCCAATTTGAGACCCTTGTTGAAACTAGCAACACAGAGTACTAGCTGAAATATGAGGTATAAAAACAAAAGCTCAATTTACCCCAATATGATAGAGAAAATAAATACCTTTGGGTAACAGATGTCCAGAGATAGTATGCCTGGCTTGTTGGTTTTGTGAAGAGGATAACAGTTCAGCTGGGTATATCTATCCAATACATTCACAGGGGCTAATGTTGGTGGTATCTAGAGGAAAGGTAGAAGAAATTATTTTAAAATGCCAAAATGTGAAATAAAACAACCAATCCAAGAGTCAAACATCACAAAGCGACCAGGGCACCTGTCGTTTTTTCCTTTGTTGTGAAAGGGTAGCATTGCAATCTGTAAGTTCTGCAATTATCGATGGTGAAATCCCAGGGCAGCTTTTCTTGACTACAGAATCTAACACCTGATCCTCGGCAGCTATAAGCACAAACACAAAACATAAATTAACAAGTTATGAAACAAAAAATAAAAATAAATCAAACAGTAGATTGATAACCTCGTTTTCCATTGCTGAATGCAGGAGTATCCACTGCATTTGTTGTAGCTGCTCCGATGGGTATCTGACTTTCAGTCTGAGCCAATAGTGCCCTTGCATCATCTCTTTCCTTTTTCAATCTTGCTATTACACGGCATGCAGCATCATGCTACCAAAAACATCATTGATAAATTCAGCAAGCGTCAATCACCAAAAGTTGTTACAAGCAAACATGGGAATTGCAGGATACAGAAGCATTCTTCTAGATTTTAACTGATTGGTTACAAAAGAAAATACTCCGCAGTAAATAGGTAAAACAGAAAAGACCATAAGGTGCTGAACATAAAGTAGTAGAGGCCAGATGGTTAAAGTTTCAAACTAAACCAGAATAATTGCAAACAGTCCATCTATAATCTGTCCCTACCTGATAAAGAGCATGGCTTAACTCTTGCCTTGCAGTGTGTAATTGTTGCTCCAATGCAAAGTTTGATAGCATCAGACCATCCCATTCCTATTATTATGAAGCAATTGAAATATAAAGAAATATCATTACTAGCAAATTAAACAGCGAAAGTGTCAAATTCAATTTTTAGTTAAAGCACAGTGATGATAATTAAAATATCATGCAGTAAATTTTAATAAAATCGACCCTGTTTTTCTCAGATACGTTTTTAGAAATCTACAAATGTTCAGGTTTAATGCATGGGAGAATTCATCCCACATGATCACAATAGACAGTATATGATAACAAAAGATAAAACTTAACAGGGGACACACGGGGACATAACGGAGACTTATTAAAAGATATATTTGCATGCTAAAGCTTTAAAATCAATGCTTTGACAATAGCCTAAGATGAAATCCTCAGTTAGACACTGACTATAAACAGATTGATGAACAAATGATCTAATGAAATATTCTAGTTTTTTTCCTTCCCTATTAAAGTCTAATGTACATACAGTATATTGAGCTCAGAAATTCAAGGGCTGGAAACACATACTATCTGAAACCGTCCCAACATCCCGGGAAGACTTGCAGCCTGAACAGGCCGGGGCTTCACTATCTGTAATTAAATCCAAAAGTATATTAGCCTGCCTATTTAGAGCCAGGTGCATATGTTGCGTAATGTGGATAGAGGCGCTAAATGAATACGAGGGAAGATGAAAGAAAAAACAAACTCCAAGTTAAGCATTGTTAAGAGCTACACAAACAAACTCCGTGTTAACACCAAGCATACCTTTCCAGTTTTAATTGGTACAATGTCATCCATTGTCAAAGGTTCTCCTGTTATTGGACATTTGCCAAAGTCCTGTACGATGAAAGATGGAATGGCTGAGTTGGTAAGCAAAGTAAAAGGCATATTTGAGCACGTACAAATGAGAACAAAAACAAACCCAGTAAAATCCCACTAAAAGTAAAGTGCAGAGTGGGGGGTGTATGGAGACCTTACCCCTACTCAGAGGCAGAGAGGCTATTTCCAAGAAACCCCCGGCTCAAACACAGACACACAGCTAAAGTAAACACAATAGCCTGAACAAAGTAAGAGCATAGAGCCATGAAGCACACAAACTGACACTAGCCACTAGCCACTAGACCCAAAGCACATAAAACATGCAACCACAATCTACATACTAGGGTAAAAATGCATCTGCATAAACTACTGAGGCACAAAGGTCTACCCAATTGTTCTAATCCTAGATCTCCATACAAACTAATGTACAAATGAGAACAAATAATGAAATAACAACAATAACCGCCTAGTGAAGACCCATAAGTGGGTTTTGGGGTGCGTGTGCACACCCTTCCCCTACCCATAACTCTATAAAAGGTAGTGAGGTTATTTTCAAAAGACCCTAACTCACAAGGAGAATAACTGAGGAAGCAGCTAAAGCCTAAAGATAATTTTATGCAGAACCTTGCTACAATTTATCAGTGCACATATACAAGAGAGAGACAGAGAGGACCAAGTAATTCTCTCTTCTTTGAAATTTTCAAGCTTTCCCTAGTTCTTTAATACATAGCATTTTACAATTTCTTTTCAAATGGCATTGACAGACTCAAACATCTTGTAGCTTCAAACAATTTTGTCACCTGTAATTTCTACATACAGGTGAATGCAGACCATCAAATTACCAGAAAATTGAAAATTCCTCAATCAAATACATGGTTGTGAGAAAATGAACAAACCGAGATGTGGCGTTCGATCAAACGCTTCTCGAACAGAAGTCCAGATTTCTTTAAAATTACAGGCTCCACAGGAACCTCTCCAGAAACTGTGAAAAAAAACGATCACATATAAATAGCTGAAGACATTTTGTACAACTATCCACTACAATGTATACAACATTATGAACAACTAACTATTCACTGTTTATTTCAAAAAATTCCGAGAAGGAAAAAAAAGAAAGAAACTTACTCGAGCAGTTCATTGTAGAACGAAGAGATAGGGTTTCTGAATGTAAAAATGCTGTTGCGACCTTCGCCCTGCACGAGAGTAAAGAGCGGGAGATTGAGGCCGAGAGGTTGAAGATGGGAAAATCGAGTTTTGAGAGGGTTTTGTGTGGATATTGAACTCTTGCTGTTGACGATGGATCTAGTGCCGACCCGGATTGGCCTATTGGGACTTGGGGACGTTGGGGTACAATGTACAAAGAAAAATCTTCCTTTTTAGTTTTGGACCAGGGTGTCACCACACGTGCTACCATGAGTGCACCCATACTTCGCACAGATAAACACAGACGATAATTGTCTGTGTTGCACAGGCAATTATCGTCTGTGTTTGTCTGTGCGAAGCATGGGTGCACCCATGGTAGCACCCATGTGGTGGCACTCTAGCATTTTCCTTTACTTTTTTAGATATTTGAAAAAAAAGAATTCTTAATCATGAAAAATGTGAAAAAAAACATATTTTATGGACCTTAAGATCATGAAAGAATAATTCATGTCTAAAATCATATATCCTCCCTCCCATAAAGAAAATTATACACTACATTTTCAGATTTTTTTTGCCTCTCTTAAAAATAAGATTTAATTTTATATTTTTTGAAAATTTTATGATTTTTTTCTTAACTCTACATCAGTTTCAATCATACAATAACCTATTGTATTAGTTATTGAGAAAATACTAATGCAGATAATGCCTTTTACATCAGTTATTTCTTAATAACCGATAGAATAGCTAGCTTTCCCTCATGCCCCAAAAAGGCAAGTTGAAATACCTATTTAACATTGATTTTTTGCAACTAATGCAACTCCTCTGGAGCAATTACATCGCTCGCATTTGCATCATTCGAAATTGATGCAAAAGATCACTCAAAATTTTTCACACGTATTTTTTACTCTGCAAATACGTATGCAGTGTCGAAAACTTCAATAATCCTTGCAACATAAAACAGGGAAACTCCACTAGCACAACACTTAGAGCCTGTTCATTAGGGTTTGAACTCTTAACTTCTAATTTCTTCCAGTTCATTCTAGTTTTTTCCATTTTCTTCCAATTCCTTCTAGTTTCTTCCAGTTCCTTCCAGTTTCTTCTAGTCCTTTCCAGTGTCTTTCAGTTTCTTCCAAATTCTTTCAGTTTCTTCCAACTATTATCATTTTCTTCAAACTCTTTCTACTCCCCAACCAATTACTCTAAAACGATATATTTTTAATGTGATTATTATTACTACTACTACTATTATTATTATTATTATTATTATTATTATTATTATTATTATTATTATTATTATTATTATTATTATTATTATTATTATTATTATTATTATTATTATTATTACAACTGTTATGTTCATAACCATAGTTTATAAATTATTTTTTTCATCTCCTCATTTTTACAGTCCACACTCATTACTTTTTTTCTTCAACTTTATAATATGAATAAGACAATTTTTTGTATATTAATCTACATGATAAAACAGGAAAACATCAATATGTTAAACTATATTAAAAAAATTATGGATAAAATAGTGACATAGAATGTTTTATAAATCTAACTTTATATAAGACCTCTCATCTTTCACTTTATTACTTCAAATTTGCTTTCTAAATTTATAAAAAAAAGTTGTAAATCAAAATAGTTTAGAGAAAAAGACTAAAATAGGAGTAAAACATAAAAAATGAAAAAAACGTTCTATGTCTTTATTCGAAAAATAGGACTTCTATGAAAATAAAATGTCAATCATGAAAGAAAAAATAAGTTTGATTACATTATGTGACATGTCTCATGTTTAAAAAAATCTTGTAATATATAAAGTATAATTACAAATATATTTTTTATAATAAATACTGCATAAATAAATGGATGTGAAACGTAACCACAAAAACTTTTTAAATTTTAATATTTTTATATTTATGCTAACTTTATATTATAATTATTATTTTGCAAAAGTAGTTTTTTTTTGTATTTGAAACATAACAATCTTTTTTTGTATCTTAAAGGCATTCATTAAGATAACGTGATAATGATGATGATGATCGTAATAATAATAATATTAATAATAATAATAATAATAATAATAATAATAATAATAATAATTTATAACAACAAGAATTTAAAATAATTTTTTTAAAAGTTTTTTTAGGTTTTCTAATTTTTTGAAGTTTTTCGTGTTTCTTCCTGTTCCTTCTAGTTTTTTCCAGTCGTTTCCAGTTTCTTCCAGTTCATTCTAATTTCTTTCAGTTCATTCCAGTTTCTTCCAGTTTTTCCAGTTTCTTCCAGTTCCTTCTAGTTTTTTCCAGTCTCTTCCAACATCCAGCTCTTTTTTCCCAGTCCTAAAAAACATGCTCTTAGTGAAGGCAAAGTTATTTATTTGGAACGAAACACTAATGACGCATAAGTATTGATTTGAAGATTTAGATAGAAGTTTGTGTCATATTTTACGAATTTCTAATCTAATGAGTGAAATTCAAATGTTCAGAGCAAAAATAATCGTCTTTATTGGAAATTTTCGTCAAATATTATTGCGAGTAATTCTAAAATGAACGTGATAATATATTGTTAATTCATCAATTAATTTTTTCTACATTTGGATACATTGCACCATATTGCATTTAACAAAAAATATGAGGTTGCAATCAATGATTCGTGATTATCAACATAGGTTATAAAGAACTTTTCTAAGATTTATAATTCATTTGATATTCATGTTTTTGATACGGTCGAGGAACCTATAGCAATGGAGCCAACGCACGAGGTTACGAGACGGACGGGGACGCGAGCGAGGCGTGCCCCGGGTTGGCAAAAGGAATTAGAGATGTATTACACTTTTATTTATCAACTTCATTTATATTATTGTATCGTAAATTTTGTTAGGTGAGCGAATTATAAGCTCCTTCAAGAGTTTCTTTACGGTTCTTTACCTCGTCGCTTTTTTTGAACCGTCAGGGTAGAAAACGTAGTTTTAGGACTTGGGGTTTCTATTTAAGTAGAGGTGCATCTCTACACTACTTTCAAGTAAGAAATAACAAACTCCTTAAACCCTATCTCTCTCTCTCCCTCTGGTTCACGTACGGCACCTTGCCGACGTACACCCTCCCCTCTTCTCTTCGTTGCTTTACCTTACGAGCCCGAAGGTGTTCTAAAGTATTCTCCGATCGGTACGACAAATCGTATCAGCTTTACAACTTTAAATTTAATTTATTATGCAGCTTTTTATTTCTATTTTTTAATGATGTCACCAATATGATTTCATAACGTAAATATGAGTCGTGCAACGCACGAGTGTGATACTAGTTCATTTGGAAATAACGTAACGAAGGAGGAAAAAAAGTGTTGTTTTAAAAAGAGTAAAACATAATGACTTTCCTAATGTAGGAAACTTTTTTATTCCCTAAATAGGACTTAATAATGACCTAGTGGAAGGAATAATGTCTAGTAATGATGGACATTTAGTTGAATAATGACTACTTGATAATGACCAAAAGTCCTACATTGGAAAATAAAAACGTATGGTCCTATATTAGAAAAGTCATTATGTTTTAGTCCTATTTAGGTAAATTTCTCTATATGTATTAGTTATACAAACGATATGGAGTGTATGTACAAAAAAAACAAGGATAAATATCAAAACATCTTTAATTGCCTCATAATTAATAGCATCAACAAAGGTGCGAAATAGCAACATTGTTAAGTTGTAGCGGATTGATCATAGACAATTTTATAGCAAATGACAAAAAGGGACAACATTAGCTAGCGCCCACCTTAAGCGAGTGCTCCGTAGCTCACCATTATTCCAACAACTTTGCATCAATTTTAACATTCCCTCAATCCCGGAAGTATTTGATTCCATGCATTTCTTTAATTACTTGCGTCAATAATTACAACTACAAAATTAAACCCTTTTTTTCTCTTAAACTCCACTAAAAATTACTCCTTTTTTATTGGATTTACGATATTTGACAGATTTTATTTTCAATATAATTTATTTGAGAATTGAAGTAGATATAATTAAATAATATAGAATATATATATATATATATATATATATATATATATATATATATATATATATATTAAACATCAGAAGCTCTACCATGCGAAACAAGACAAGATATAACTATATTATTTAATCAAATTAGCGATGAAGATAATGAAATAAAATGGATAAAATTTGACACAATAAATAATAAACAAACAACTTAATTTCAGGGTGAAGAAGTAGGAATCAAAAAATAAATTTGGAGCGAAGGGAGGTGAGTATGTTTCAAGCTAGAATAAAGAGTACGGATCAGCATTTGATATTGAGGAAAAATACTTTCCAAAACAAGGCAAAAAGCAAAGAAATTCTTAGTGAAATTCACCTTGCTATTTTTGGTATAATAGTAGTAATTACGAGTTACGCAAATGCTTAGTGCATGTACTTTAAGAACATGCAATAAAAAATATAGGCAAATTAAAAAAAGGATATATTGGTAATTCATTTCAGCCATATACTCTCTTAATTAAATTCACATTTTTTCGTTTTCGTCCATTCCACAATAAAATTCGCGCTCTTAGCTCGATCAAATTTTTTTCAATCCAATAAAATATATGTTGCTCGATCACGAACAATTTTTTTTCTTTCCACTCCACACAAATTTGAACCAAACATCTATTTTTATTAAAATTTAAATATTTAAATTTTAGAATAATAGTGTACAAGTAATTAACAATCTATTTCAAATAATCATAATACTCTGTACTTATTTTACAAATTGTGAATAATGAATTACATTTAAAATTAGGTTATTATTTTAAAATTGAGATAGTAATTAATTATATATGGCATATTTTAATTCATGGCCTTAGCAAAAAAGGGGAGGCCGAGTACGCTAATGTGGTACAAATACCATTCTCAGATAAGAATGTTATATATTAAAGGTGTTTAGAATATTAAAATTATTCAAATAGCTTGTTGTACAATGGACAATGGAATAAGGGTACGACGACAATAGATATTGGATTCGAGGTTGATCATTTGTCTCCTTTTATAATGGATTATTTCAATAATAATAATAATAATAATAATAATAATAATAATAATAATAATAATAATAATAATAATAATAATAATAAATAATAATAATAATATACTTGTTAAATGAAGGAATATATTTTCATATATTTCCGTATATATTATTTTGGTAGTTTCATGATGTATATTGATTCTCTTTCATTTTGTATAGAGTTCCTAGCTTGTGGATCATACACACACACACACAACCTTTGCTCGTATTGTAATCATCAGAAATACGAAATACAAGAGAAATTCTACCGAATATTATTCTTTCATAGTATCAGAGCATCAATAATAAGTGCCCTTGATGTGATAAATAAAATAAGATGTGATGTATATATTATTAGATAACAAGTAGGATGTGATAGGTGGGTCATGAAAAAGTAAAGGTAAAGTGATTTTTTAATAAAAAGTGGAAGTGTTTTGTTGAAAGTGGAAAAAATGAAAGAGAAAGTATTTTTAAGAACGGAGAGAGTACTTATTAATCGAGTACCATTTTAAAATTTACCCTAAAAAATATCTAAGGTCAAAACTCAAAATATGAGCCCATATACTAGGGGGAAAATATTTGTGTAGGCGCCAAATTCCTATAACCAAGCTGGCTGCGCTGTATATGTACGTCGTTGGCGTATGTGCATGTGAAATGTGTGCATACTAGCCTGTGTATTATGCCTTTTTTCCCGATCAACTACCCTCTCCCATCCCATGTTTCTCGGATATATATATATATATATATATATATATATATATATATATATGTTTCTCGGATATATATATATATATATATATATATATGTAGTGATTTTTGTAATGTAACTAACTAACTTGATCTCCATATATGTACCTCCCCCTACCATTTTCTTTCTTTTTACCCCCTTTTTTTACCTCAAAATTTTCATCATATCTTACCTCAAAAAAATTCATCATTTACTACCTCAAATATTTCATCTTTTCTTGAAGTTTCTTTTCTCTAATTAATCTATTCCATTATTATGGTAAGCGGATCTTCCTTAATTAGCTTCTAGTTTGTGAAATTGTTGTTTAAGAATGCGTGCATTTATTTGTCGTTAATTCAATGGTTATTATTTATTGTGTTTAGAAATTGAAGATGATTGTGTGTGACCACATTAGGGTTATGATCAAGTTGCATGAATTTTCAGTTTTTTTTCTCCAAAAATGAAATTTAATTTATCTTTCCCCTATTCTTTTCTCATCCGAGAAACCATAATTCTTGATTTTTTTAAATAACTCATTAATTACATGCATGCCATCATTTTCTTGATGAGGAGAACTTAGTTTAATTGGTTTCATTAGATTTATCCATGAATTAATGTTAAAATGTGACTTGTTTCCTGAAGCCATTATCAAATTTTGACTTGTTTTCTTTAGGTATATATGTATTTTTGATTCATTTGTTTAATCTCGTCATAATTGCATGCATGTTCTGAAATTGGTTTGGGGCTTTATAAAAAAAACGAGTTAATTGCTTTAATTACTCTGCTAATTACAGGCCACAAACTAATACTACTACTACGTAGGATTATTGTTTCTTAATTAGTCTTTCTCTCTGTCATTTGTCTGCCATGCATGTAACGTATATTCCATCTTTTCATGTTTTTTTTTTCATTTTGATCTTTTTAAATTTCCCATCCTTTAATTTTATTGACCACTTCTTTGTCTTTTGTGTCTTGTCTTTCCTATGTACGTGGAGAGTCGGGATGGACAACCCCCACCCCCACCCCCACCCC